ATCAAAATAGGGGCGAGACCCTTTTGGGGTAGGGGCGTGTTTTTTGGTGATTTCAAATGTCAACATTGGCTACCAGAAATCGCTTACCCCACCTTTAAATAATCTTGCCAATTCCAAACTTTGTAGTCTACACAGATTTCGCAGCTGCAGCAAACATCCAAAGCAATGAAAATATTATGCATTGAGCTCCAACTACATACGTTTTGTACATTTTACACCATCCTATACAAAAGTCTGAAGATCCTGTAGTAATGTTATGAATCTGTGCCAGGACCCGGAGGCATTTCATTATTCACAGCATCTCTACAGGCCTCTCTGGTAACTTAGAATTTTTTTTTCTTTTACCAACTTTTTACTGAAAAGTTTGGGGCACCAAAAAATAAAAAATAAAGGTTCCTTATAAGCATCAATGGTTCCATGAAGAACCTTTAACATCCATGGAACCTTTCCACTGCACAAAAGGTTCTTTATAGTGGAAAAAAGGTTCTTTAAATTATTAAAATGTTCTTCACACTAAAAAAATTGATCTTTTAAGAACTGTGCACTTAAAGGTTCTTTGAGGAACCCAAAATGAGTCTTCGATTGCATTACTACGAAAACCTCCTTTTGGAAGCTTTATTTTTAAGAGTGAAGCATCATCTTCTTCAACTTCCTTCCCTCTTGTGCTGAATTTGATGAAAGGTTGAAATATATTTAGCAAAGCAACACATGCAGACACTCACCCATTGGCCAGATTGTCGTCATCGTCGTCGTCATTAAGGCTCTTGCAAAGTACATCAGAATCACTCAGGAAACCAGACTTGAGGTCTCTGTCTCCAGCGTCCAGGCCTTCGATGAACTCGCTGCGTGACGTGTGGCTGAGCCGGCTGGAGCAGCGGGCAGGCATGGTGTGAGAGGTGTACTGAGACGAGGCCTTGCTGCCCGACACATAGCTGCTGCCCGTTGAGGAAGGAGCGTCGCCGGCTTGCAGACGAGGACTGGACTGGCCGTGGCGCCAGGAGAGAGGAGAGGAGCGGTTGGAGAGGCTGGAGATGCTACGAGCGTTGGTTTCATCACTGTCGTAGCAGACGCTGCTGTCCAGACAACTGTAGACGGAAAGAGAGGGTTACTGATGCATGCAAAACACAACATAACAGGGCTGCTGGATCGGATGAGGGCCAAAGGAACTCATGACCTACTAAAGAAAAGGATGCATCTGTGGTAGAATTCATCTGTTGAGGATGAAAATTGCATAACCAGATGCACCAGCTCAATTGAATAATATAACAGCTTCCTTCACCACATGAACATGGAAGAGCTATTTTTACACACTTCTCTCAAGATAATTCATCACACAGCTGTGAAAAGAAAATGCACTTGTGGGTTGAAATATTTGATGCACTCGAGGCATAAAAAGCACACAAACACACTGACACTGGGTTATTCGGTTAGTGTTAGCCAGCTGAAGGAGAATTATTTGGTCTGTTATTCTTGCTAGTGGGTCACTTAGTCAATGTAACTCGGTTGCCAGCAGGTCTGTTAATAATTTCAATCTGTTGTCAATGGGTTATTTTAGAACTGAACGATTTGGGAACAACTAATTACATTTTTTTTAGAGTTCAGGTTTGCTGTATTTATTTTTAGAGCTGCACAATTTGGCCAATAAAGTTATATAAAATAATGATGATGATTTTTAAATTATGATTATTATTATTAAATAAAAATATTTAAAAAATACTCTAATAATAATAATAATAATA